CTCGACATGGCTGGACTCTCGTTAAAGAAGCGCAATGCTATGAAATCCTGAACCTCTGCGGGTGGAAAATATTCTACTGAGACACTCACCTCACGACGCGCGCTCATGGCAGTGCTGGTGTTGTTATCACTGGTTGCTCGCAGAATCACTGAATAGAAGCCAGTCAGTGAAACAGTGGCAGTCTACCGACTAAGCCTACAACAGTCTAAACTTTGACGTTGATACAGGTAAAAGCGCCATTATTGGAGGGAGAATACGAGCCCTTCCTTGAGGAAGGGCAGCATCCTTTATACGAAATGCCGACTACGGAGTCCATCCTTCTAATGGGCTATTTCAATGCATATACCACACTGCAAAAAAGCTTGATTAGAAAGAATATCCTTGGGTGAGCTCACCAACAACGGAGACAGCATTTGTGATTTTGTGCAAACAACGCACTGACAGCTATGAATACCTTTGAGCATCGAAGCGTGCATCAGTATACCCTGAATATTGAATCTTGCACAGAAGTCGATGATCGATTTGATAGTCGTATCGTCTCACTTACAATGCTCTGAAATGGATGTTCGCGTTAAGAGAGACGCAGAACAATCAACTTGTTGCTGGGACGTAACGCATTAAGAAATTAAGTATCATGCGAAAAAATTGGCTCTAGAAACAAGACAACCAAATGGGAAATATTATCTTAGGCGGATACGAGAGCCAAACTTGCAAAATCATCGTAAGACAGTTTGAACAGATACTGGCAATGACCGCTGATACGGAAACCAAGTGGTACCTCTTAAAGATCGGCGTTCTCAGGGCTGCCGCCGAAGGTTGCAGTTTCAAATGCGTTGGCCGGCAGCCTAGAGGTGAGAAACAAACTTCCTAATGGACAACAGTGGTACAACTGTCTGTCTCTGAGAAGGCTGCATTAAAGAAGTCACTCGGAAGCAGAAACTTCAATTCACATCGAGTATAAAGAACCGCACAAGGCGGCAGCGAAATGAATTGCAAAACCCAAAGCTCACTTAAAGGAGAAATTTGGTGAGCTGTTGGAGTGGAATTTCCAGACGGCAAACAAGGTAATCTGACAGACCATCCGCAGGCTCCGAGGTGAAATAAGGGCAGTCTAACAATCCTGAATGACACTTCTGAACATTCTTATCGAGAACGAGAACAATCGGGGATGAAAAGAATACTTTAAGGAACTATCCAGGGCAACATTAGGAAGCTCGCCTGAAGAGCGGCAGAGAACGGATACTGGTATATGTGTAGAAGAAATCACAGAAAGTGTGAAAAGCTTCAAAAGAGTAATGGTTGATGGAATCGATGCACCCTGAAATGTTCAGACCATTAGGC